GAAACATATATGCATACAATTACTCCCCCAAATAAGTGATCATTGGATCTATTTTATTCTGCAGTTTCTCTCACTGTTCAAATACAACATAATTTGTTCCAGATTCTTACATTTATGGCACTTGGAAATCTTATCAAAATACCCTGCCCCTTTTACGTATCTTTTGCTCAATAAGTATCCCTCATGCCCTTAAGTTGGATGAATATAGTGCCTTAATCACGAGGTAAAGTTTTTCTTGCCTGGGTTCTTACCAGCACTCCTTTTTCAAATTAATTTGAGTGACTCGTGCTCCATTAAGACATCTTGATCCTAGCCCTGGGCTGCCTGACCCTCTCAACTTTGTTATCATCTAGCTTCTTCCAGGTTGAAGTTCTTTGGGATACCTACATTCACCATGTCCTGGATAGTTTTATTTCTGTAAATCATAGAAATCTAAAGTCATAACTTTCTCATTCAGCTACCTTATGCAGGCTTAGTAGGTTCCCCAGTTGCAGTATTCTTTGGTGGAAGCAAACTTACTCATGATTTAATTTTGTCTTGAGGAGCTGCATAAAAGTGGAAGGTTTCCAAATATATTCTGCTTTTCTGGAACAATGTGTTTGTTGGGTCCAAGAAATGTGCTTTCTCTGTTGTGATACCTGCTCCCTCACCCCGTAGTATCCTTCTAAAGAGCTCTATGAGTGAGATTCGTAGGAAGAGATCCGTAGGAAGAGATCTACCAAGTCATGTTCTAAAAATCTTTGAAAATCTGGCTCTGGGACAAGGTGACTGATGGGTTGGATGTGGTTTTTGTTTTGATTTGGTTTTTGTTCTCTTCTGAATGTCTATGATTTCTTTCTTAATTTGTTTTCTTGCTTTTCAAGCATGTAAACAATCCAGGGTAATTTGGAGTCACATGATTTTCAAATTAAATAATAAACAAAGCTGGATTTTTCTTTTTGCATTCAGTCTGGTAGCAGTGTTGCAGCAGGAGAACCTCTGCTTCCATTCAGGCCATCAATAACTCTGCTAATTAGCAAACCTTTGGAGTGGAAAATGTTTATCTTGCTAAATCTCAAAACTGCAGACCTTCAGGTTTCACAAGGGATATAAATTCTGCTCTAGATGTCTGATACCATGTTTTCTTTTCTTTGTAAGGTGGCCTCAGATTGTCATTTCAACAATGAGAATGCAATTTTTTACTGGAAGAATAATGAAATATCCACAGTGGAAGATAGGATTATAAAATTGGCAGTTTATGAGAAAGGCAAAACTGACCAGTTTGGTCGGGGAAAATATGTTTTACTTATTTTTCTTTAATTTTAATATTTTTATTATGTGGAAAAAAAATCTAATAAAAGTAATAATAAAAAAGGACGTAGTTTATTTACAATAATATTATTAAATAATTCTATTTGTATTATTTTTAGAAATATCTTTTCTGGTTTTTTTGCTTTTAATAATGTAAGCTAACCAGAGTCCCTTTGAAGCAAGATGAGTGGCAAACAAATTTAATAACCAAATAAATAACAGTTGGTGCACCCTTTTTTGCTATAGGCAGAATGCTGGCATATGATCCTATACTTATTTGGAGGATACAGAAGAATGATTCTATACAAGTGATTTCTACGAGGATGTAAACCAATAAACATTCAAAAACAAGCTGGACCACATGCATTGGCTATAGGGATGTCCCTCTATCTCCCACTTCCTGTGTAGCCTTTCTCCCTTAGCACTTAGCAATAGCACTTATATACTGCTTTATAGTGCTTTACAGCCCTATCTAAGCGGTTTTACAAAGTCAGCATATTGCCCCCAACCATCTGGGTCCTCATTTTACCCAGCTCGGAAGGATGGAAGTCTGAGTCAACCTTGAGCCTGGTGGGATTTGAAAAGCTGTTAATCAGCAGAAGTGGCCTGCAGTACAGCATTCTAACCACTGTGCCACAGAGGCTCTTATCTGCTACCACCAATAATTAATTACTATTTAGGCTGACCACAGCTCCCTGGGCTGGGGGTTCCTTTAGAGATCAGGCATGTACGGAATAGTAAGTCCAAATTTGGAAAAAGAACCACCATTCTCATGCTTATCAAAGTGGATTGAGTCTGGAAAACAGTATTCAGGGCCTGGGGGATGGGGCTGTCAATAAGTGATGGATCCCTTTTGGGATCATCTGAGCATGCTACTGACAGATGTCAGATTGTATCCAATGTCAAAATAAGAGTGAAAAATACTGTAATATGTACTGTTAAGAATGACTTACCGTTGCTTCTGATCTTGCTTGGGAATCAAATGAAAGCATAATAAAAAGAGAAAGAAAAGAAGAAAGAAAGAAAGAAAGAAAGAAAGAAAGAAAGAAAGAAAGAAAGAAAGAAAGAAAGAAAAAGAAAGAGAGAAAGAAAGAGAGAAAGAAAGAAAAAAAGAAAAAGGAAGGAAGAAAGAAAAAAAAGAAAAAAGAAAAGAAAAGAAGAGAAATAATAAGGTACACAAATAAAATAAAGATGCAACAAGAAATTGGCATGCTTTTGCCTAAGTGAAGTAATCATAGTCTGCTTTCCCTATAACGAAACCTAGATAACTCTTTTTTGTTTTGATTTTTCTAGTTCTTTCTGGCAAAATGTACAGAGAATTCTTCGTTGGTTAGGATCAGATTTCATTACAAAATTCACAAATCTGTCATCCAGTTTATTTTATTTAGTACAAGGGTGGACTAAGAGCTTTCTAACTATAGTTATCCCAAAATAATGATATAATTTCCAATCACATTGAAATAGAAAACATATAGAAACTGTGATTCAAGTTGTAAACAGACACATGTTGTGATTAGTAACACAGTTTGTATTATTTTTTGTTTGTGTCCCAAAGGTGCTTTTTCAAGAGGCAACTTCAGTTTCTAAGCTGAAGAAGCTTCTTGGATGAGAAGCGAAATGTCTTAAAAAAAACAAACAAAAAAAACAGACAGACCAGTTGCCTCTTGAAAAAAAACATCTTTGGGACAACTATGACCTGGATGACTGAGAATCTCCTTAGAAGTTGTTTGTGTGTGTTTAAAAGAACTCCTCAACCTTCCTGAAAAACTCAGGGGGAAAAAATGTCCATGGACCCATCAATTAACATATCTAGGTTCCTCTGATATTTTAGATATGGATCCCAAGCATGAATTAACATTAGCTTAGCATTTTGTATGAAGCAGCAGTTGAAGTTTCTCAGTCATGGTTTATAGCTTGGTGTTATATGAAGCCAGTCAAACTTGACTTATTCAGCGAAACATGATAAACTCTTATTTGATACAAGACTTGGAAAAGAAAGAAAAGAAGGGCATTTTGTTCCACTTCATTCTGCCAATAATTGCCCAGGGTATTTAATCCAGGATGAAAAAAAATATTCTTGTGGGAAAGAAGGCTTTGATTCTCCTGTTTTAGCAGAAACAATCTACAGTGGGTTCAGACTCACCTGCTCCCCACTGCATTACTTTGTGCAGGCAAGAAAAAGTAATGGAAAGTTTTACTTCTGCTTTTACAGAGTCAATCTCATCATTTTGATTGGAATTTTGAATCATGGTTTGTTGAATACTTCATAATGATGCATCATACTAAGCCAATGTTTCTCAAGATTGGCAACTTTAAGGTGGATGGATTTCAACTACCAGAATTCCCCATCCATTCATACCTTAAAGTTGCCAAGATTGCAAAACAATGAATAGTGCTAAGCCATTAAAATGCTTATTTATGAGTGAACAATACATCAGGAAATTATCATAAATTGGAATGATAAATTGAACTAATTTTATCATTAAAGCAATTAAATTAACTATATTCTAATAGATAACTGGGTAAGGAAGAACAATGATAGGGAAGGGACAATGGAAAGAAGGAGAGGAGTACAGTTAGATTAATTACCCATCACCACTGCTTTTGGTCTTCTTCAGAATGGGAGGTGGCTAATTACAAATTAAAGATTATGCAATCAAGTCCTCACACTGCATAGATCCCTAACATGATGTATTTAATGTAATTATGAGTCAGTCCATTATAGGTGATTCAGGAAGCTATAGTTTTAAAAATCCTTATATGATATTATATATGAGCACAGTTTAGAATTTTAATAACAGGCAATTGCTTCCATTCTTAGATTTCATATGTGTGTGTGTGTGTGTGTGTGTGTGTATGTGTATATATATATATGTGTGTGTGTTTTCTTAAGTTTTTGTGGGTACTTACATGTATGGTATTCAGCTTTGTTCGGGTATTTTCCCATGTCATTATAGTTGTGCTTTTAAAGTTGTAGCAACGTTTCGGCAGAATCTCATCTGCCATCATCAGGCTTCTGTATTGTGTTCGTCTGTGTGTGTATACACACACACACACACACACACACGTATGCATGTATGTATCGTTATATTTCCCAATTTGAAACAGAGTTTTTGTTGGTTTGTATGTGAAGAGAGTAATAGAGAGGGTTAATTCTAAAAATGTCAACTTTCATTTGAACTCAAAGTAAATAATTAATATTAATTTTGCTGTTTGATTTTTTTCAGAAGAAAGAGGCAATGATTAAAGATAGAGCTTTCTTACTATTTTTACTTTACCCAATATCTATTAAAATAAGTTATTCAACCCAAAACACATTCAGTTCCTTTGCTATAATAAATTTAATACATATTGAAAACTTATTTTAGAACCTGTGAAAGACTTTTGTGATGAGAATGAATTATATAAGGAGATACCGTAAAGTGAGAATTTTATTTCTTCTGGTTCATTGTATTAAAGTGTGTCTGGCTATAAGAGCTGGCACAAGTCCTTCCCCAACTGACTATACATATCTTTTATAAGTGGGATCATAGAGTCTGAATGTGAATTATATATGTTGTTTCTTATCTTTTGTTGGTCTCAGATTCCCCAACCCACCCTCCTTTGTGAAAGCCAAGATTTCTTACTTATGCAGTATTAAAAATTCAAGCATTCTTAATTACATCCCAAGTAGCATTTCCAACTTTTGCTTTTTTTTCTTTCTGACCTAGACATTTTTTGGCAATGTAAATTCTAGTGGCGTGGTCAGCCATGACCTACATCACCCCATTTTGGCTCGCTATCTCCGGATCATTCCTGTGGCTTGGAACCCACAGGGCACTATTGGCTTGCGAGTTGGCCTTTATGGATGCTACTATGGTAAGTGATTCTGCTGAGAATAATGTCTTTTAGCTGAAGAATAGAAACAAAAAATGGAAGGTGTAAGGCAAAATTTATTCTTACTCTCCCCTTTTCATAAAAAATGGAGTGAGAGGGATGCAAGTAGAATTTGAAGTGCTTGTATTTCTGCTTATATCACTTAGAAGGAAAGTAGGTAAGATAATACATGAAACAGATTGGTCTTTTATGGCAGAAATGCAAAAATACCTGTGGATAAATTATTAAGGGACTTTTTCAGCTTTTTCTTTTGGGCCAGAACTATAATTGCCAGATTTATTTTCCCATTTTTCTTCTTTAGCCCTGAGATGAAAAAAGAGGATGGAAAGAACTTGTTTTCAAATTGTATTTTTCCAGGTGGGGTGTTTTGGTCAGAGTAAGACCAGGTAAGAGGGGACTGAGGAAATTGGGACTGAGGAAATTGTGTTGCATTATGGAGAACAGGGAAAACTTGATCCTTGATCTCAGCTTCTTCAGAAGTTTCAGACATGCAAGCTTAGCATTGGCCAGATTTAAATGGTCTCATTTGGGATTATGCTGATTATGGTGAGCTGGTGGTCACTTGGGGAAAGGACTTGACTTGGGATAACTGTACATTTGTTCTTTCCTGCAGATTCTGAAATCGTATATTTTGATGGGGATGATGCCATTTCTTACCAGTTTCGCAGCAAAAAAGTTCGTTCCACTGAAGACATCATTGGGTTCAACTTCAAAACAATGGAGCATGAGGGCATCTTAATGTATGCGGCAGGATCTCAGGGAGATTACATCAGTGTGGAACTTCAGCAAGCTCAGCTGGTTCTGAGCATAAGTCTTGGTGAGATCAGAAGGAAGAAGCAAGAGCTTGGTAGATGCCAGGATTCTTTGTTGATATGCCAGGGGAGGAGGAGAAATATTGATGCAACTGATAAGCAGATCAGAAGAGAAGGAGTCACCTTTCTTTCAAGTTTGAATTGAGGCTAATGTACTTCTGAATTTTGATGTATATCTTTATCCCAAGCAATAAGGAGTTTTGGAGCAACATTTCTGTGGTATTTTTTGGGGGATGGGTAAAGTCATGGGAACTGTGCATTGTTTTATTACATCAGCTGCAGTTTGCAGTCAAGTAGACTTAAAAACCAGTGAGTGCACCCACCATACCATGTCACTTGTCTTTGAAAATGCAGCTACATCCCAACTATATTTTATTTATTGCTAATTCTCTGTTTTGTAGTAGGTCAGTTTCTAAATTAAGATTTTAATACTTTTAAAGACTAATTTTGTTCTTCTTAAAACACTTTTATATATTTTTCTCTGGTCTCATGCACTCCAAGAATACTGGAGCTGTATCAGGACTGTGACTTCCAGAATTTTCAGTTTCATCAAAATTTTTGGTATTTTGGGGAGTACCAATACACCTGAAAGACAGATGTTGAGGAGATTCAGTGTAAAGGTTCAAAGTAAAGGCTGGATAGACCTCAAAGTACATTTCACTCTTTGTCATTTCACTAAAATCAATACTCAGAACAAAAGTTAAAAGTCGAAATAAGTAGAAGGCAGGCTATGACTTTATTGGTAGTATTTAAAGGAAATAGGGTATACAAAAGGTTTGACTTGGGCTTAGCTAAGTGTAGAGTTTATAACTGGTTTCATCCCAAGGTCCAAAGGACATTTGAGAATTCCCTAAAGGCTAGCTATTTCTTAAGTGAAAAAGATGCCAGGTTAACTTAACCCTTTACCTCCTTTGAATATGTATTCATACCATGAATGAAGGAATAGAAGTGAATCATTTTTTGGCTACTTAGTCTTAGGCTATTGCCTAAGGGGGATAAAGCACCTACTAGGTCCAACAGAGGTCTTCAAGTTAAGGTGTATACACAATATAATATTCCATGCCAACATGTAACTTATTGCCTGCTTCTTTGTAGCATTGGAATCAGGCAGTATGAACTCAGTGTGTTCAAGCCATCTAATTGTGACAGCCTATTTAAAGAAATGATTAACCACAATTTTTAATGTTGGTGTTGTGTTGGGGGAAGGCCAAAAGGCAGGGTGTAGAGGATGAAAATAAGATTAAGTGTTAATCAAGGAGTGGAAGGAAGCCTCCCCACAACCAGCATGTGCCAATGTCATTATATGCAAGAACGGAATATGGGAGTGATGTATTACCGGAATAGGAACAAGGAAATTGTGTTGAGAACTTTTAGAACCTATGGATTTTTCCTCAACCAGTGCATATTGAAACATAGCCAGGTCTTTGGTTTTTTCTTTTATTGTTACCAATAAGCACCTGGTTTATATTTCCCAACAGAGGACTGACCTATATTTCTATTTCCACGTGCAAATTTATTTTCTCTTATTCTGCCATTTAGACCTTGTTTAATTTTTGGACATCGATAGATTAGTCAAGCAGAAATATTGATAGTCTCATTCACAGCATTCTAATTAGTCAAAGCTATGCATACAGACAGCAAAAATGTGAGTGCTTTTTGGTATTACAGTAAAGGCAGATAGATATAATGACCTTGACTATGTCTCCTCTAAACACCTCCTGTTTCATACCAGGGCAAAATGCTGAAATTTTGCAGTCCATTTAAAGAAAATTGACATTGAATTAGCACATACCTTTTTTTTTTAGTAAGCTAGCTAGCACTGCCTAAAGTTGTGAAATGATGCACTTATCCCTAAATACTCTTTCACTGAAGGCTAGATTTGTTTAATTAATTTTTTAGACAGAAATGCAAAGTCTTAGAAATGAAATGCCCCAGGATTTTTTTTTCTTTTGGTTTGTTTGCACAGCTATTTGAAAATGCCACCGAGCAAAAGAAAAAATAAATAAGGGAATAAAAAAAGCAGCAGAAGATTTACAAGCTATGTAAAACTGATGTAAAAATTTCAAAATAACATTCAATTAGTACTCCATATAAGTATGATCTTATATCAATTTAATATTTTAAAATATTATTAAAATCAAATCAACATTTGGTAGTTAGCCTATATGGTAAGAATAATTAATCAGAATAAATGATTATCTAATCTGAGTATGTCCTTATAATGAAGCAGACGGTATCTAGTATTTGTTGACATTATTTCTAATGCTTTTTATATGGGTTTCTACCATCAGGTAACAGCTCATTAAATATGAGTGGAGGGGAGACAACAATGAAGCTGGGGAGTCTCTTGGATGACCAACATTGGCACCAATTTCGCCTTGATCGCTATAGAAAATATGTCAACTTCAGTCTGGATGGGGAGATTTTGCAATTCCGCCTCAATGGGGAATTTGATCAGCTTGACCTAGACACAGAGGTGATATGCTTTGGAAGAATTCGCAATGTGATAATGTTCATTTGGAAAGCAACTGAAATGTTCCTCTCTACTTTTCCATGGAATTTGATATCTGCTGGGAACTCTAATGACCTTTAACCCTACATTCTCTGTCTTTCATTATGGACACATGATCTATATGCAGCCATTAAAAATCAGGACCTAATTGGCTCCCAGCTGAGTTGTGTCGTCCTTGTTTTCTACAGATCTTCTTTGGAGGAGTGAGAAACAATGAGAAACAGCGACTTGTCTATAGGCCAAACTTCCGTGGCTGTATGGAAAACATTGCCTACAACCTGGTTTATATTACTAATTTAGTAAGACGCCGGCATCCCTCTATCCGGGTTGAGGTAAGAATTAACATAGATTGGGTCTAGGACCAGGGTCTGCAACCTGTGGCTCTGGAGCCGCATGCAGCTCTTTTGGCCCTCTGCTGCAGCTCCCTATCAGCTGATCCCACTACTGGCTGGCTCCTCCCTTCCCCTCTTAGTCACTCCTCACCTGGCCTGATAAGATAAGGGTGACAGTGGGGGAATGGAGATTCGCTCCATATTCCAGAGTGGGAGCAAAGCAGCCCTGTACTTGCATTTGCACAACAACAGCATTCTGCCTTCGTCGTGGTACATTTGCGCTCAAGGCAGCCCTCGCCTCCCGCTGCTTCGGGCTAGGAGCTGTTGCTGCCTCCATGGCCTGCCTGTTGCTTTCACAATGTCTTGCACAGCATGACTAAACTTAGTGCACTTCACATTGGGGTGTCCCCTCCTCCTCCTGGAGCCTATTACGACATGGAGCCACAATGCTACCCTGCCCCACTTGCCCCTAGCAATAGCAGCAGTTTCTGCCAGCTAGATATGAGGTGCTGGAGAATCAGAATCAGAATCAGAGAGAGAAAGAGAGAGACATATAAAGAGACACACACATAGAGACATAGAGAAAGACTCAGAGACAGACAGAGAGAGAGAGAGAGAGACATAGAGAGAGACATAGAAAGGGAGACATAGAGACATAGAGAGACATAGAAAAGGAGACATAGAGAGAGAGAGAGAGAATGAGCGAGAGAACGAGACAAAAACGGAGGGAGAGAAAGAGTGATGAGAGAGAGAACGAGAGAGATAGGGAGGGAGGGAGGGAGACCTATAGAGAGAGAAAGAGAGCTGAACAAAACTTTTACAGAACTATAGATACATTGAGGCCTTTGAGGTGAGTGGCCGGGAGACAAGGGGCGAGGCTGGGTGTGGCTGGGGGGGTCATGTGACTGGTTGGGAGTGAGTGACATCAAGTTGGCCATACCACCCAGGTTTTGTGGCTCCTGGTGTTTTCCGTGGGGAATGGGTCCAGATGGCTCTTTGAGTGTTTAAGGTTGCAGACCCCCTGGTCTAGGATCTATGGCAGCCTTATTAACTTAGAAATCCTGCAGTTAACTGGACTTCATTTCTCAGACTTCCTCAACCACTGTGGAAAGTTGAACTCTACACATCTGGAAGATATGTTTGGGAAAAGCTGGTCAGTAACAATGAAGATTAAAAACTGGCTCTATTGTAATTGGAGGCAGCCCTTGGCCTGTAGTTGCTAATCTCTGCTGAGTCTATGCATAAGCTGATGTTACTTTTGTCCTGTAATTGATCCTGCTGCTGCCTGCCACCTGTTTTTCTGTTCTGATTTCATTGTAAGTGAATTGATTTTTCATAGCTGTTCCTGGAAAGGAAACTCCAGTATAATCTCCTTTAGGAAAACTAGCTGAAAGAAGGAGCCCAATAGAGATCTTTTTGGTGGCCAAGGCAGCAGATTATGTCATCATATATCAGACAAATGGATATGGGAGCAAAAGTCCTTAATGGACTTGCCTTCTCCCTTTGCTTTTGCTTTCCTCTGCGAATACCACTGTGCTTTCTCTCTTTGTTGCAGGGTCATGTGGGCTATTTCTGTCGGGACAATCTCTTGTTCCCCTTTACCTTTGCTGGGGTCAACAACTTCTTGCAGATCCCTGGATATCCTCGGCGCAATATGCTGGCAATCAGCTTCAGTTTCCGCACGTGGGATGTTGTAGGGCTGCTTATGTATACATCCTTTGCTGATGACCTAGGATGGCTTGAGATGGTCCTGAGTGCTGGACAAGTCAATGTCACAATTGCTCAGCCAAAAACTCAAACCAAAACCAAGAAGCTGGAATTTGCAGCAGGTAGGCAGTAAAGTAAAGAATAGTCAGGGTTTCAGTTAGTAAAACGGCTCCAAGGTAAGACTGCAAAGCATGTTATATAGTATGTTCCTAATGTTGGAAAGGTGCCCTGTGGGAGAGGGGAAAAGGAAGGTTGGTGGTGCTGGATTCTAGGTGCCAACCTGGAATACAGCCTGTTTGATTGTTTACTTCTTGCCCAAAGACTGGAGAAATTAGGGATCTAAGGCAGATATTTTTCTTTTCCAGTTCAATAAGAAACTATAACTCTCCTTGGTGCAGATAATCTTTCTTGGTTGGGCAGATTCTCCAATTAACCCTCACAGTTGGATTTGGTGGAAGTATAGGGCTAATAACATGGAAAGTTTTAGTTATAATCTTGCCTTCTTGGTATTCATGCTAACTTTCAGCAGAGGCTGTTAAGGATGCTGAAGTCTTGCCTCTTCTCCTGTCCAAAGATACTGGCTGGTCTCAGGTATTCCCATGCTAATTTCATCTTCTCACAAATAGATATCTGCTTCCCAACTAATTTGTATATTAGTGGCTGGACAGGCTGTTCTTTGAAAGAGGAGAGATAATGGCTGCCAGCAGTGCTTTATGTGATACATTCTACAAACAAGCTTCCTCTGGTTGTTAATTGTAATGAATAAAGAGTTATTGTGAGTGTGTGAGTGAGGGGGAGATGCCTGATGATGGAATCAGTTAGAATGGGGAGGGATCTTTTGAGGTCTGGGTGTTGAGTAGTTATCTTGAAATAAAAGCTACTTCATTGTGGATAAAATTTAAAAGCAGAACATTAAAAGATGGGTATGTATAAATAATGTTAAGTTTCTTAAAAAGTTAATTATCTGCTCCTGCAATAATAAGACATTCTCAAGCAGTTTTGGTGGTGCTTTCCATGTAGATTTAGGTCAGGATGAACAGTGCAGGTTGCTTATTTGTGCCACTCAAACTTTGGCTAACTTCCAGCAGGTCAATTTCTAGTATGAAAATACCAATTTAAGAATGGAACTTGGTCTGCTGCATCTCCTTAGGGAAAATATAACAATTTCTAGACTATATCTTCCAAATAGAGATTCAGTGACAATATGGTCAAATTTTTATTTACCAATTATTAACATTTTCATTCCAGAACAATTATAGTGCGGTGAATGATGGGAAGTGAGCCGTAATGTCTCCAGAAAAAAAAATACAAATAATAAATACAGATCCAAGATTAGCTTCATGACAAGCTTCAAAAAAACAAAAACAAATCTCTGTTTATTTTAATCTCCTAATATTTCCATTTAACTTGGATTAAGGGATTTAGCCAATATTAGCAAATAATATGAAACATTGACTAAAACGTACAACTGGATCATAGATGGATTGTACAATGAATACTTTCTTTGTGCAGGTGCATTATTTATTTATTTGGTTATTTATTTATCTGGTTACTAATTTCAGATACATGATCCGGGGAACTAATAATTAAAACCAGAATAAAATAACCCACAAAAATATACACAACACAAATAATAGCTGCACAACTAACCTAAAGCAATACTAACAATCATCTTCTTTAATGCAAATAAGAAATGGGCTCATCCTTTCCATTAGGACCCAAAACTCAAAATCGGTGTAAAATTTTATAGCGTAGAATGATATCTAAATCCAACCTCAGTGTTTGGCTTGATGAATCAGTGGTGTGAATCACTGCAAGGGAGATTCTGCTGTCTCTCTATATAAACATAATATGAAAATAAATCACTTGACTCTATTGGGTAATGTGCCTTGCCCAGATTTTGAAACCAACAAAATGTGACAACTTTACAATTAATAGCTCAACATCCTGTATTGACTCTTTTGGTTGTCAAAAAATTATGGGCAATTTTGTTGTCAAGAAATTATGGGCAATTTTGTAATTGCTTACCAGGTTTATGACTGATATTAGCATTTAATTCTGATCGGGTCTTAGGTTTCTGCCATTTGTAATTTTAAGGGAAAAACTGGAAAAGATTACAAAAAGTATCTTTCAAGTCAGATTGATATCCTGAGGATTTTATTAATATATCCTCTAGTTTTTTTGCAAATAAATTGAGTGTGATATGTCCCTGCCTTCTGCTTTTATTTTAAGTTTCACAATCTAGCTTTGAGCCATTCCAAACTGGGCTTTTCTTATTGCTGTGTGCAATGGAAATGAAGTTATATGGCAAAGAAAGGTCAATATATTTTAGACAACCATTTTCTCAACATTTCTCCTTATTTCTAGAGCACTCTTAAAATGGCTGTGCAGACTGGAAATTCAGGAAGTTGTGGTCTCTACAGAGCTGCGGCACAAAAAGCTACAAAATGATTAATATAATTTCTCTAGGAACAATTACAATTTTTAATCTGCTGTATGTCCTAATAAATTAGAAAACAAGTTCAGTTATGGGCATATTTTTAAATTAATGCTGCTTGAATTAGGAATTAGAAAGCAGATTTCTCCAATTAGATTTTGAATTGATTTTGTGTGTATATGTACACACACACACACACACACACACACACACAGAGAGAGAGAGAGAGAGAGAGAGAGAGAGAGAGAGAGAGAGAGATAGCACCCATTCTCCCTCTGATATATTGACCTGGTTCACATAATACCACAAATTACTTATACCAGTATAGTGCAAAGTGGCTCGGAGCCTGCCATTTCCTAATATTTTTTCCACTTTGAAAAAAAAAGCTTCAAAATCTTTGCTTTATAAGATAATTACTGCAAGATTATTATATGTACAAAAATGAAAAGATTCTGAAATACCCACAAGAGAGAAATAGCTGGTGTAGAGGACAGAATTAGCAAAGATTATACAATTGACTTGTTTGATTAGAATTCACCATAAAGAATAAAAGAATTGGAAGGAACCCTGGATTCTTCTATTCCAATTTCCTACTCAAACAGGAGACCCCACATTATTTCAGACAAATGGCTGCCCAGTCTTTTTTTAAAAAACCTCCAGTAATGGAGCACCCACAACTTTTGAGGTCAAGCCATTTCTCTTGTTTATTATACTTATTGCCAGAGAAGTTCTCCTTGGTTCTAGGTTGGATCTCTGCTTCATAAATTTCCATCTGTTACTTCTTATCCTGCTCTCATGTGCTTTGGAAAATAAGTTGATCTTCTCTTCTCTGTGACAGCCCCTCAAATATTGGAAGACTACTATTATGTCACCCTCCAACCTTTCTGTTTATTAGACTAAACATGCTTAATTTCTGCAACTGCTCATAATATATTTTAGTCTCCAGGCCCTTAATAACCTTTGCTGCTTTTCTCTGTACTCTTTCTAGAGTCTCAACATCTTTTTTGTATCATGGTGCCAAAACAGGAGATAGTATTCCAAGGGTGATCTTTCAAAAGCTGTATAAAGTGGTACTACCATTTCATGTGATCTTGATTCTGTCCCTTTGTTAATGCAGCTTAGGACTGGATTGGGTTTTTGGGGGGCAGTTGCTGCACATTGCTGGCTCATATTTAAGTGGTTATCCACCAGGATTGCTAGATCTCTCTCACAGTTACTGCTGTTAACAAGTACCACGTATTCTGTACCTTTGCATTTGGTTTTCTTGCTTAAGTGTAAAACCTTATTTTTCTCACAGTGAATTATATTTTTTTGATTAGAGTCCAGTGTTTAAATCTGTCAAGATCCTTTTGGATCTTGAGCTTATCTTCTAAAACGTGGGCTATTCGCCCCAGCTTGATATCATCTACAAATTTGATGAATTCTCCTTCTATTTCCTACTTTGAATCATTGATGAAAATGTTGAAGAGTACTAAGCTTAAGACAGAACCTAATTACATTTAGTAGTAATTTCAAGCCAATAACTATATTTAGTAATGACTAGAAACCCCTTTTGGATTTTTGACTGAAAAAAAATTGAACTCATATTTATGGCTTTAATGATTAGAAAGGATAGGCTTTGGAAAGATAGAAATTATGTTGTAACTTTAGAGAAAAATGGTAAAATATAAATGCACTTGTAACTGCTGTTAAGAAGACCAGAAACTGTTTTCTTTCTCTCCTCTCCTCCCCTTTCCCTCCTCTTTTCTATTTATTTCTTTGCACTTTTTTCACTTATTTCTTTTCCTTACTTTCCTTACTTTTCTCTTTCAAATAGAGTTTTGTTTCTATTCTTTTAAATTTTTCTTCAACTTTATACACACACGTGTGTGTATGTGGATAAAAATCTGTGGCATCTATTGGATGTTATGCTAGCAGATTGAGTTGAGGAGTCTTACTTACTTTTTTCCACCCCATTTCTATTTAGCCTGTGTGACCACGGGAAGTGTAATATAAAATGAGTGTTGAGATGACATTCTCAAAGAAACTCAGGTATTTAAAATTATAAATGGCTTGTAGTATTAATTTCACCACTTAGGCAGACAGTTAGACAGATTAACAGAGTTGGAAGGAACCTTGTAGGTCATCTAGTCTAATCACCCCTCCCAGCAGGAGACCCTACACCATTTCTGACAGATGGCAGTTCAGTCTTTGATTGGATCCAAGATGCATCCCTTTCATCCCAGTTATTGACTGGGTTAGGATATTTAAGTGGGATATTAGCTCTCTTTGATTAAGCTCATTAGGCAAACAGCTCTTGGATACTATTCAAGGCATGCAAAACTGCTTATAATCTTTGCAGTTCTTATGAAGCGAAAGTGTAAAACGATGGCTTATATATACAGTGGGGATAGTGCATTGTAGCTAATCTTTAAAATATATATTTCTTATAATAGACAGAAACCAAAATGGCTAGCAAACACTAGAACACTGGGCCATATCTAAAAAAAATGAAATTCAATGTAGAGAAAAGTAAAGTCCTACACTTAGGCAAGAAAAACCAAAAGTACACATATAGCCTGGGTGAAACCAGGCTCAATAGCAGTAACTGTGAGAGGGATCTTGAAGTCTTAGTGGACAACCAGCTAAATATGAGCCAGCAGTGTGCTGCAGCAGCCTAAATTGTATTAACAGAGGGATACAATCAAGATCAAGGGAAGTACTAATACCACTCTATAAAGCCTTAGTAAGACGACACCTAGAGTACTGCATCCAGTTTTGTTCACCACATTATAAAAAAGATATTGAAACTCTAGAAAGAGTACAGAGAAGAGCAACCAGGATGATTAGGGGACTGGAGGCTAAAACATACAATGAACAGTTGCAGGCTTGGCTAGTCTGGTAAAGAGAAGGACCAGGGGAGACATGATAGCGGTCTTCCAATATCTGAGGGGCTGCCACAGAGAGGAAGGGGTCAAGCTTTTTCTAAAGTGCCTGTAGGCCAGACAAGGAATAATGAATGGAAACTGAATAAAGAGAGATTTAACCCGGAAATAAGGAGAAACTTTCTGACAGTGAGAACAATCAACCAATGGAACAACTTGCCCTCGGAAGTTGTGGGAGCGCCATCACTTGAGACTTTCAAGAAGAGATTGGACTGTCATCTGTCAGAAATGGTGTAAGGTCTCCCACTTGGTCGGGACCTACAAGGTCCTTTCTAACTCTGATTATCTGTTATCTGTTATCTAAATCAGGTTTTTATGTGGGGCAAGCTTAATGGATCTTAACGTCAATGGCTTCAGTAGGGATGGGGTTGAATTTGTAAGGTCTGGCCAGTTTACTCATAATCCTATCACTTGTGCTTTATTTCTTGTATTCTGTCATTCTTAGGATATCGTCTTAATGATGGTTTCTGGCACTCAGTGTCCTTGATAGTACGAGAATCCTCAGCTGTTATCACTATTGATGATCAGAATGATGCCAGTTTCCGTGTTGACCGAGACATCCAGTTGCGTACTGGGAGCCAGTACTTTTTTGGAGGTACATAGTAAACTGTTCTGGGAAAAAAGCTCAGATGAACTTCCATAGCTGACCTTATTTGACTGTGAGACCTGAAATCTAACACAGCTGCTGAACATTAAAATGGGGAAGACTAGTTTAAGATGTGTTATAGTTTTTAGTAGCTTCTCTCTGTTTAGGAGTGAGTTTTGTAGGTATAGTGATTTCAAAAATAAGCATTAAAAGAAATAATAAAGCATCTGCAAAGCTTGGGATGCACAGCTTTCCAGATATACAGAGCAACCACACTATGTGCATGTCAATTTTGCACAATTTAGCATTTGGATTTTCAGAATCAGTACTTTATTTGATTTTAATTTAAAGCTGTAAATTGGAATTACTGGATGGTTAAGCCTGAAGGTACAGTATTTAAACAATTTCAGGGTAATGGAAAACAGGATTATGAACAGAGAAGGATAAATGATCCTGTTGTTTGTTCCTAGGAAAAAACACATCTCTTTAAAGAGTTGCAAATAGGCAGTCGTATATTTGCACTCCCATATCTCTAAAGCACCCTTTTGCATTCAAGACAAAATTGCACTAAACAACCCTAATGATTAATTGAAAATTATGACATTTTACTTCCATAAAACATTTTTTGGTTTTATTGTCTGGATTTGGGATTAGAGGACCATAGTAATCAGTGTCCCCTGGGACCCATTATTTGTTAAATACAAATTAATATGGACCTAATCCACTGAGGTAAATATAATCTTTGTATTTCTTTCTTTTGTGTGTATGGCTGTGTTGATGTTCTATAGGGTGCCCCAGGCCAGCACTACGAACTGGCTGCCTGTCCAATCAGACAGCTTTTCATGGCTGCATGCAGATGGTCAGTGTGGATCGCCAGCCGATAGAATTGGACATGGTTCGTCAGCATCGGCTCGGCAAATACTTTGAGGTGTACTTCAATGTGTGTGGCATCACCGACAGGTATATCTGTGAGAAGTAAAGTCTGGGTGGGCATAATTGGGTCTTAAATGATGGTGCAACTGAGAGATCCATTTGTAGCATTAGTCTGGTGATCTTATGTAGGTCATTGTTAGCTGAACAATCTTTCTGTCCACTTCATGTGTCAAAAGGAGGTAGCTGAATCTAAGCAAGTTTTAATCTTGCCAATGTCTGCATAGCCCAGGATGTCAGGAGCATGTAGATGTAATAATGACAAAAATATATAAATAAAATTAGCTGCTCTAAGCTGCTGTGAGTTAGGTAAAATAAAGGTAAGAGACAAATAAGCATTAGTTTTGCAGAAATCCTAAAGAATTTCTTTATGTAGTACTTAGATGCTCCATGGAGCTTCCCGCCTTTGGTGTTTGGTGTTGATAGGAGCAATTTTAACTTTGCAACACAGATAGCTGAACATTTTATAACATTTGAAAATTTTTGAAGAAGTGTCTTGCACATGGATCAGGAAAAAAGTACCCACATTTCTCAAAAACGTAGATCTGTGCTGGTAGAAGAGTTCCAGTGGTAACTTGCTTTTTTTTTTTTGTCCCAGGTGTACCCCCAACATGTGTGAACATGGCAGTCGATGCATCCAATCCTGGGATGACTTCACTTGTCTCTGTGACTTGACGGGATACATGGGGGAGACCTGCCATACTCGTGAGCCTGAAGGGGCGAGTGAGGGAGGATTGAAAGGGCTTCTGAACATGGATAGCTTTTTCACTTCCTTCTTTCTCTTTTAGCTGTTTACAAGGAAAGCTGTGAAGCTTATCGAATCAGGGGGAAAGTGTCTGGGAACTACACCATTGATCCAGATGGCAGCGGACCTCTCAAACCTTTTACTGTATATTGTGACATGAGAGGTACGGGTAATGGATGGGAATTCAGCCTTTCCCCTTATGTCAGGGACATTGAAATGCTCTAGGAACTTCTCTCCTAGAGATTTGGAAATTGGCTCTAATTAAATTTGGGAAGTTATTCAGAAACATGAAAGAGGAGAAAAGGCAGTTGTATCTTGTAGGTGCCCAATTTTCAGGCAATCTAGATGTGTGGACATCAACTCCCAGATTTTTCAGTAATGCCCATTCTGTCTGGGAAATTTCTGTTGGAAATTTTTCAGCTAGATAGAGGTGATCTTCAATTTGAACTGTTGCCTGTCCACTTGTACTTTCCAGAGGACCGTGCATGGACCATTGTTCGTCACAATCGTCATTGGCTCACAAAAGTATCAGGCTATAGCCCAGAAAGGCCTTTCCTGGGCACAGTTGACTACTGGAATGCATCCTGGGGGGAAGTATCAGCCCTGGCAAATGCCTCCGAGTACTGTGAGCAGCAAATAGAATTCCACTGTTACTTCTCTCGCCTACTCAACACCCAGAGTGAGTATGTATGACCTTCTTTCATTCTATGGATGGTATGGATTTGCACACATATTTTGAGCCAAGAGCTTGGAATATATTTGGATTCCTTGCTGCCCTCGAGCCAAGAACTTGGCTCTTTGTTTCCTGGCATTTCATTACTCAGTTCTAGTGAGTGTGGAGTTTGCTCTCTTGCTCACTAGGGAGCTAAGAAGCTCGCTAGTGAGCAAACCTAACACTCGGTAGCACTGATGATGTTACCTAATTGGTAACAAGCAGACATCTACAAGCAAACAAGCAAAATAAGGGAGCACCAAAGACTCCAACCCTGATTTGCATAATATTACCTCCTGTTGGCGCTAAGAATATATATTGAGAAGTTATTATAGCTGTTTATTTTGGACAACTTACTTTGCTTTTCAGCTGAGAGAAAGTTGAGGAGCCATTCAAGGGATATTTATATATCTCTCAAATAGGCAGTGTAAGTCACAAAATTTGGCAGTGTGAGGTAAGAAAGGATACAACTGGAAAGAGAACTTGGAATTCTGATAATAAGCACAGTATGAAAAGGAGAAAAAAAATGAAATATATTCCATACTAGGAATTACTAAGAATGGGATTGAAACAAAATAATGGGTATATTAATGTTTCATCTACTTTTAATCAGCTAAAAATGTGCTTTAATGCCCTTTCTGTTTGCCCTGCTGTAAACACAAATGACTAAAGCTGAAAGTCATTGAAAAAACTCATTAAGAAGCTGGATCTTTCTCTACTAAAAAACCTTCCCACCTTTCCACCCTCTAGATGTACTAGGAATTTCAGGAGTGAGAGTTCCCATCACAGCTGAACAGCGAGGGCTAAGTGTTGGAATTTTATAATTTAGGGGAAAAAGATGAGTTAGGGCAGTGATCCCCAACCTTTTTGACGCCGCGGCCCGGTACCGGCATCAGCTGGGCGCCGCGGCCCGGTACCGGCATCAACTGGGCGCCGCCATCTTTTTTTGACGAAAAAGTGCTTCCGGTGAGCTTACTACCCGGAAAAGCTCACCGGAAGCACTTTTTTACCAAAAAAAGATGGCGGCGCCCAGCAACCAGCGGCCCGGTAAGACTTGTTCCGCGGACCGGTACCGGTCCGCGGACCGGCGGTTGGGGACCCCTGAGTTAGGGAACATAATAAATGTGCAATGAAATCAATTGTGGTATTGAGAAAAGCAATGTGAATCATGCGATTTACCAAATGAAGGAGATAACATGTTTTTTTCACAACTAAGTTGTGATCATCTTAAAAACAACTTGATGACTTCTGTAGAATTTAGGTGCAGCTTTTGGTCTAAATCAGCAGGGGACTTTTCTATCCAATTTGAATTCTACCTTATTTTCTCTTAGCTGGGATGCCTCTAAGTTTCTGGATGGGACGAAATGAAGAACGTCATTATTACTGGGGAGGCTCTCCTCCAGGCCTGGGGCGCTGTGCATGTGGCATGGAGAAGAGTTGTGCCAATCCCCTTTTCTATTGCAACTGTGATGCTGAACACTTGATGTGGTGAGATTTGGTTCCATCCTCTCTCAAAGGGTTCTGGGTGATGATACATTGTGAACTGAGTATTTCTAATAAATGATGAGAGTCTGTTTATCATTGCCTACTCCAGGCGAGCAGATAAAGGGCTGCTGAATTTTGTTGACCATCTTCCAGTCACGCAAGTTGTAGTGAGCGATACAAACCGTACTGGATCAGAGGCTCAGTTCTATGTGGGTCCATTGCGTTGCTATGGAGACCGTGAGTAGTGGACAGAGTGGGAGTTGATGTAATGGTCTTTTTCTGTGGATCTCTCAGACTGGGACAGGAGTCCTCAGGTTTATGGGTTGTATCAGTGGTGGGCTTCAAAAATTTTAGCCTGATTGCTGGGTGAGCATGGCCATGATGGGCGTGGCCAAGTTGGCCTCCTGCACCATGGCAGGGGGGAATTTGCCTTCCTCGGCCTCCAGAAGCTTCCCTCGAGCGTCCGAGAGGGCGAAAAGGGCCTCCCCAGGCTCTGGAGGCTCTCTTGAAGCTGGAAATGAGCCCAATTCTGGCCTTCCCAAACTTTTGTTCTCCGTGCGCTTCTGTGCATGCCCTGCACTTACCTGCATCCAAAATAGGCCACGTAGGGACTCTTGGGAGGAGTCTGCAACTGTTCATTGTATGTTTTAGCCTCCAGTCCCTTAATCATCCTGGTTGCTCTTCTCTGTACTTTTTCTAGAGTCTCAACATCTTTTTTATAATGAGGTGAACAAAACTGGATGCAGTACTCTAGGTGTCGTCTTACTAAGGCTTTATAGAGTGGTATTAGTACTTCCCTTGATCTTGATTGTATCCCTCTGTTAATGCAACTTAGGATTGCATTGGCTTTTTTGGCTGCTGCTGCACACTGCTGGCTCATATTTAGCTGGTTGTCCACTAAGACTCCAAGATCCCTCTCACAGTTACTGCTATTGAGCCTGATTTCACCCAGTCTATATGTGTACTTTTGGTTTTTCTTGCCTAAGTGTAGGACTTTACTTTTCTCTACATTGAATTTCATTTTGTTAGATATGGCCCAGTATTCTGGTCTGTCAAGATCCATCTGGATCTTGAGCCTATCTTCTTGGGTGTTAGCTATTCCTGCCAGCTTAGTATCATCTGCAAATTTGGTAAGTTCCCCTTCTATTCCCTCATCTAAGTCATTAATGAAGATATTGAAGAGTACTGGACCTAAGACGGAACCTTGTGGCACCCCATTGCTTACTTCTCTCCATGTAGATTAGACCCATTAAGGACTACTCGTTGAGTACGGTTTGCCAGCCAGTTGCAAGTCCATCTAGTGGTGGTGCTATCTATTCCACCTTTTTCTAGCTTACTAAGAAGTAGGTTGTGGTCTACTTTGTCGAATCCCTTGCTGAAATCACACACACACACACACACACACACACACACACACACACACACGCAAATATGTTTCTGCTTCATCTCTGCTCATAGTCACCCATGTTCCCTTCTTGACTATTGCAACATGCTGTATATGGGACTGCCCAGAAGCTTCAATTGGTTAAAAATGCAGTGGCCTGCATGGTTTTATGTAGGCCTAAATGTGCACATGTGTCATCTCTCCTGCAGGAGCTGCATTGTCTGCCAGTTTGCTTCTGGGTCCATTTCAAAGTCCTAAATGCCTTGGGAACAAATTATTTAAAGGTTTTCTTTTCCCAGCCACATCTACCCAATCCACCAGAGTGGGGAGGAAAGGAGTATTATGGGTCCCCTCTCCTAAGGAGGTCCATGTAGTAGGATCAAAAAGAACCTTCCCCGTAGTTGCTCCTTCCTTGTGGAACATTATCCCTGCGGAGAAAAAAAATTGGTGTCCACTTTGAAACTCTTTTGCAAGGCCCTGAAACTCTGGTTTTACTAACAGACCTGGGGACCTCAAAGTAGGATGGAGCACATCATAAAACTCATCTGATTGTAATTATGAAGGAAGATGGGGAGGTATTACTTTTTTATTTTGTATTAGGCTTTTATCTTGTAAGCCAACTGGAGTCACACAGCCACATAAAGTGAGCTGAGCATCCATTTAATTTTTATACATACATGCCTTAACTAAATTGTCAACTGAGTCTAAAATACAATAAAACAAACATTTTCTCATTATACTTTTTTATGATTTGCAGGCAACTCCTGGAATACAGTAACCTTCATCAGGGGAGCAGCTTTGCTTTTTCCTACCTTCAAGGTCAATTTCAGCCTGGATATCAGTTTCTTCTTCAAGACTTCTGCACCAACAGGCACTTTCCTAGAGAATGTGGGCCCGATGAACTTTATCCGCATGGAGCTCAACAGTATGGAATTTAGGCTCCAAAGGGGCATACATTTTTCTTTTAACATAATATAGCATCTTTTATTAGTCCATGGACTTAATTGACTAAATCATTGAGACTGCTACTCCCAAGAGTCTTGCTGGCATATTTATAATAGTGTTGCTAATCATTGGCATGTGGGCTGGCAGGAAATCAAAGAACAAGCCTTCTCCAACTTGCTTTTAACATAAAAGTTGATAAAGCTGTCTGTAGTTGTTTTTTGCCTAAATGAGGATTAATGACACTGATAATAAGGTAAATTGTTGAAATAGGAGATTCTCTGTAATGTTCTTAGTGATGTGTTATGCAGTGGGAGAGATTAGGATATCGGGACAATTCAATTCAATTTTATTTCTGTAACTCTTTAATTCTCTCACTTCTTCATAGCTTCTCAAGACTTGGTCTTTGCTTATAACATTGGAAATGGGGATGAGAATTTAACAGTGCACTCAGAGATGCCATTCAATGATAACGAGTGGCATGAAGTGAAAGCAGAGATCAATGTTAAAGTTGCTCGGCTACAAGTTGACTGGTTTCCTTGGGTGATGCGAGCAGCTCCGCCCCAGAGTTTTATCCATCTGAACCTCACTAAACCGCTCTATGTGGGTGAGTAAGAATGTTCACGTGCATATGTATGTGAGGGAAAATTTTTAAAGCATCCCTGTGAAATAATTATGAAAGTTAATCAAAATAATAAATTGAAAAAGGACTTTTTGATTAATAGAACATCAAATTTCAGATTGTGAGTCCAGTTTCTGAAGGGACAGTATCTATTACTCAGTAAATGAATTATATGTAATTATATAAATCTGTGATGGAGCAAATAATTTGAATGTACAGCTCTCTTGGATAAGCTGCACCAGCTCTCAGCTTTTCTTTTGGATGCAATTCAAATAGCCGGCTATCACCTTTAAAGCTGTACATGGCATAGAATCAGGTTATTTGCCTCTCTGTATGAATATTTGCCCCCCCTCACTAGAATGAATAGGTAGGCCTATCCATTTTTCCATCTAGTGCAGTGGTCCCAACCTTTCCAGCTTTGTGGATTGGTGGCGGTGGAAGACAATAGTTCCGCACAAACAGCAGGTGTGTGTGCTCACACAAATAGAGCACAAGCACATTCACCTATCGCTTCTGCAACTCAGTACTGAACAGGCTGCGGCCCAGGGGTTAGGCCCATCCCATTGTAGTGGCACCTCGAGAGCTGCCTTTTTGTTGCTGCCCCTTCTTTATGGAACATCCTGCCATAGGTGACAGGAAGACCCACTTCCTTTAGTCTTCTGGAACAGGGGTCACCAACCTTTTGGAGCTCAGGGGACCACCAAACTCATAATTTTAAATCCTGGGGACCACTAATATGAATTTTGACTGACGGTGGCTTGCTGACGTTGGTGGGAAGGAGGGAGGGAGAGAGAGAGAGAGAGAGATCTGATCTAGCCACCCCTCACACACACACAGATCCCTCACACATCCCACCCCCTCCAAGGCAGCCACATTCCTACTTTTGAGCTCTGTTCTCAGGGGGAGGGGGAGAGAGAGATCTGATCTAACACAGAGCTCTCTCTCTGTCTCTCTCTCACACACACACAAACACACACACACAGACAGACAGATACACCCTCCAAGGCAGCCACATTCCTAGCCTGCTTAGAAGAAGAAAGAAGCGGAAAGAAGCAGCCCGGTGGACAGGCAAGTTTCCCCCCTCCGCCCTTTCCCCGCTCCCCTCACTATCTCATGTTGTTCCGACTCAAGCTTTGTATTCCCACAGGCTGGCCATGTGGGTGGCGTTCTCGCGCAGCCTGGGTTAATTGCTTTGGGGGATGCTCTGGGAGTGATATTTCTCTGCGGACCACCAAAATTTTCTCATGGACCATCAGTGGGCCACAGCCCACCAGTTGGTGACAACTGTTCTGTAATACTATCAGGACCTGACTTTTTATCCAGGCACTGGAATAGAGTGGATAGGTTGTTAAGATATCCCAAGGGAATGACTGAAGGACCAGGTTTTTGTTTTACAATTTATCATTTTATGTTTTTTTAAATAGATCTGGGGTTTTGTTGTTGTGAACCACCCAATGTTGTGTTTTAAAGCAGGCGATCATACAAATATTTTAACTAATTGATTAAATAAATAAAATACACAATCTTTGGGTGTCTAACCAAAAAGACTGAAAGAACTAGCTCACAGTAAAGCAGTAGAGGGCAGAAGAACCAAGGCTATGGATTATGAGGAACTAAAAGCAGACTAGACAGCATGTAGATAATTAAGTGTTCCACACTCCCCCAAATAGATCACGGTACCAAAACAGTGAGCAAAATAGGTATGCCAAGTTTCTAGTTGGACCAAAATGGCTATATTTTCTGAAAGCAATATAAAACTGAACACAATTATTGTACAATCATACCATCAATTGTCCACAAAATAGAAAAGATATTCCAGCGCCTAGCAAACAAAATATATTTGAACTAAACTAAAGCACATGGGTTTTCTTTGCAGAGAATAATTAGCATCTAGGTATATAATGGCTTAGGCCTGTTATATAACTTATTTAAAAAGAGAAGTTTTTCTCTGTTTCCCATTAAACATAATGGAAACATTAATTTACCTCAGTTTTACTTATGGTGGTGATAGGAACTTTTAGGCTTTGTGGAGAGCAGAGCCAATAATATTCAGAGATGCACATGCAGAACCTGATGCAAAGCAAGATGTAGAATTTTGAATCTTGGAATTTCCTTTTATTGCGTGAACAGTGTAGATTTTTCTTTTTTACAAATCTAATTAGTCCTGGGTGTATCTGTTTCAACAGTATATTTAGGGCAAGAGTTGATTCATTTTGTTCTGCTTGCCAACAGTGAATTAGAAATCATTTCTGTAAATAAGACATAAAATCCCTTCCCGTGGGTCCAGATCCACCTTTTATCAACTAAATAATATATGCTTAACAGGATTTTGGACAGAAGCATTTTCTTAATTTGGGAAAGGTGGAACATTTTAAAAGCAAACCCTATCATTGTTCTTAGAATTGGAATCGCCCAATATATTTGATGACAGTAGGTAAGGAGAAATACAAAACATGTTCTTCAATAGTGTATGAAGTCTGAAGAGCTACTGGATTATACAGAAGAAGACAGGCCTTTTTGAAACTTCCAGGATCCACCCCAATGATTTTTCAAAAATATTTGGTTGAAACCTATTGCAACAGTTTGCACAGCAAGATAGGGTTGATTAAGCTAGCTAGACTTCTGTTTCTAAATACAGCCATTTATTTCTCCTTCTGTAGGATCTGCCGAATACAACTTGCATCCATTCTTGGGGTGTTTGCGAGGTTTGCACATGAATGGGGTGACCCTAAACTTGGAGGGGAAAGCCAATGAAACAGAAGGGGTTCTGGTAAACTGCACTGGACATTGTCGAAACCCCTTGATACCATGCCAGAATCATGGCACCTGCTGGGAGCACTACAGCCACTACACATGCAACTGCACAGTCTCTGCATTTGAAGGGCCTTTCTGCAATCATGGTGAGATCTGGGACTAAGGGCAGGAGGGCTGGCATAATTTGCTTCAGCAGCCTTCTTCACCTTGATGTTTTTTGGATATACTTGGCTATGCTAGCAGGAAAGTAACCCAAGAGCCACCAAGGCCAGAAAGAAAGGGAAGGCTTGCAAAAGAGCTTGAGTAACAAGGGAGGTGGAAAGAAAGCAGTTTTTTTTCCTGGCTTGGATTTTGTCTTCCCTTAACTGTTGTCTTATTTTGTTGTTTCTTGGCAGAAATTGGTGCCTACTTTGAACAAGGCATGTGGGTGCGCTATAATATCCTAACAACACCATTGTCTGTGGTACAGGAATTTGCCAACATACTCCAACAACCACTTCAGCCACTCCCTGGCTACAATGTGACAGGGGAGGAAGTGGGACTCAGCTTCCGCACCACTTCAGCCCCCGCAGTCCTTCTCTATGTCAGCACCTTTGTCCATGACTTCATGGCCATTTTGATCCGTGAGGATGGTAAGCATGACTTGCATAGCTTCCAGGCACTTTCTGGAGTTGATGCCTCCTTCTTCTGCACTTACTTTCCATTCCCTTCCTGCCTCTCAACAGAAAGGGTGGGAGTCCTTTCTCACCTTCCAGGACCTTGAGAAAGAGGCATGATCCCCACTGCCTCCCCCAAAACATTCCAGAATGTTTTCACATGGTGATTTAGAGAGGTCACTTAAAAATGTCAGATTGTCCTACTTAATGGGAAGAACATTTCATCAGGATACTCCCAATGATCAACCTTTAGATTGTTTGACAAATGACTGTTTCGTCAGCTTCTGAATGGATTTTCCCTGAAAAGAAAATAATTTTGGGGGGGAAAATCTGCATTTCTTGTAATATTCCCAAAGAAATGTGGTTTGTGTAATAAAAACATCACCCCAAAACGTATGTTTACTTTTTGTTTTATTTCTATGATGGCTTTCCTTGGGGAACTGTTGGCAGATCTCTTACTAAAACATCTTTCTGAGCTGAGTAAATGAAAACAATAAAAAGGCAGTGTCCACCCTAGAAAACATTAAGAAATAGATTGAAAATTAAACGGATGAAACTGTGCAGTAATATTATAGTTTTCCAGTGATACATTCCTCCGGTCATTTTGTCTTAAAGAGTGTTGGAAAGTTAGAAAACAAGATATCTTAAGTGAACAGATTTTATTTTTAACCAACAGTGCAAAATACGCCACTGCTATTTTTTGTACTATTATAGAAGTCAGTGCTGTACGATTCAGTGATGGTCACTTAGAGAGAGTTTTTTTTTTCAAGCTTAAGAAAGAAATTATTGGTGGTTGTTAAGAGATAATTTTAAAAATTGTGTAGATATTGTATTTAATTTCCCCAAAGTACTGAGGGACATGTTGGAAGCAAAATGGACTACTTGGTGAATCTTTTGTCCAGATTCAGCAAAGTTCTTGGCCTCTTAAATGTAGAAAATTCCACTTAATAAACTGAAATTATATTCTGTCTTCTCAGTGTTCTCAGTAGTGGTGATTTTCCTCTGACTCTGCCGCATAAGGGTGCAGGGACTGAACTCTTGGTCACCTTGTACTATTAATGCTTTTCTCATAGGTACACTACAGCTACGTTATCAACTGGGGATCTTCCCTTTCAGCTTGACTTTGAGCACACGCTCAGTGGCTGATGGGCAGCCACATAGAATCAATATTACTCGTGTCAATCGGACTTTGTACACACAGGTATCTACAGCTTTTTATCCATCACATGGGTGTGATAAAAAAAAAGGATGGGATAGGTTTATAATTCTTGATTAAATATAGAAGAGGGTAGTAAAATTTTCTCTTTTTAGTGGGAAATAGGTTTTCTTTGAACTGAAAGCATTTGTGTATAAGTCTGTATAATTTTCTTTTGGATTTTAGACAATCTTCTTAATATCTTTCATCTCTCTCTCTCTCTCATCTAGTTGGATTATTATCCTCTCATGATAAATCAGTTCTCTGTCTTTGTGGACAGCAAACTTGATTCTCCCAAGGCACTCTATCTTGGGCGTTTTATGGGTGAGTAAGAACAATAGGTCTTGCCCATTCCTGATGCCCCTAGGCCCGTTGCCATTTTCTTAGGCTTTCATGGCATCCCTATCTCATATTACAACTCTTTTTATGTTTCTAAAGCACTATGCATCCTTATCTTCAACTTCAAATTGGAATTATTTTCTTCTTTTTATTTTTCTGTATTCTTCTGTTTCCTATCCTCTGTATCTTCTTTGTAGGATAGCAGTGTCCTCTTAGCAAAACAAAATCAGTTCCAAAACAGAATGGAGAAAACTAACAAACAAACAAAATAAAAAAGTGATTCTACACAGGTGGTCCTCGTCTTACAATTGGGCCAAATATTTCAGTTGCTAAGCAAGACTCTTGCCAAGTGAATTTTGCCCATTTTATGACCTTTCTTGCTGCAGTTGTTAAATGAATCACTGCGTTTGGTAAGTTAGTAACACAGTTGTTAAGTGACTTTCCCACTGACTTTGCTGTCAGAAGGTTGAAAAAAGGTGATCATATGACCCTGGGACACTGCAGCCGTCGTAAATATGAACCAGTTGTCAAGCGTCTGAATTTTGATCACATGTCCATGGCACTGCTGCAGCAATCATAAGTGTGAAAAAGGGTCAAGTCACCTTTTTGAATGCTGTTGTAACTTCAAACGGTCATTAAACAAATGGTTGTAAGTTGAGAGCTACTTGTGTACATGGTGACAATACAATTGTGTCTACGAAGACTTTGTGACAATAGTGGTTTTATTGATAACTGCCCAGAAATGCTTTGCTACTGCTTTCTTCTGGGATATGTTTGCAGTTTCCTAGCATTTTCTCAATCTAGTTTATAAACCTGAGATTATTTGATGATTTCCTATCCAAGTGCTAATTAGGTTTGAGCCTATTTAGCTTTCCCCCCCAAGATTTCCCACAGTTGGTTAGATGCCACCACGTCTATGAAAGTTTGTAAGACACATTCTCTTTCTCCCTTTCTCTGTCACATATTCACACACTATTATATTTGTAATCTGTTGCTAGGATAGCTTGTTACTGGGCAGATTAAAAGTATTAATTTAAAATATAAAGAAATCAAAATGGTCTAGCAGCCAAAGAGTGAACCTGTAGAATGCAGTGATAGTTTTGGAAGGATCTAACAGCTAACAACTCACTTCCTGGTTATATAGCAATAGCACTTAGATTTATATAGTGCTTTACAGTGCTTTACAGCTCTTTCTAAGTGGTTACAGAGTCAGCATATTGCCCCCAACAATCTGGATCCTTGTTTTACCCACCTTGGAAGGATGGAAGGCTGAGTGAGTGGTGGGATTTGAACTGCCAAATTGTAGACAGCTGGCTACAGTAGAAGTAGCTTGCAGTATTGCACTCTAACCACTACGCCACAGAGGCTCCTTATGATGCAAAACGCAGCATATGCAGCCTGCCGTACCCCCCGCCCCTAGATATAATAGAAGGGAGAGAACATGCACATACACAACATATAATACACCTGACCTGGTTAGACCTTCATATCCACACATGCAATAGCCATCCAAATTAGAACATCCAAGGATTAATGGAAAAAGGAGATACCAGATGCTCAAGCTGGCTTTAGAAAAGGTTAAGCAACACAAAACATTATTGCTGATGCCCTCTGGATAATTCAGAAAGCCAAAGAACATTAAAAAAAAAACCCTCAGTATGTGCTCCATTGAATGTATCAGTCACATTAAGCTGTGGAAAGTGCTCAGAAAAATGGGGAGCTTGTTTTCCTGATGTCTCATTATTGTAAATATTAAGTCTGATATCTTAACAGTTAAAAGGGATATAGAAATAAGAAACCAAGAGAATGACATGCATAATTTTGGCTGTATTGGATTTACAAAAGAAGCTTGCTAAAACTTTGAAAAAAAAATGTGAGAAGAGGCAAAGAAAAAAAATATCAAGTTGTAGGATCTTGTTTTTTCACCCAATTCTGAATTGAATCTTGTTTTTTGCCCATGTGGACAATCTGAACAATGCGTACCCTCTTTGCCTTCCGAGAGATAATGAAATAATTTCCCCATATTCTCCAGATTAGGATCACAGCAACTCCTACTGTTTTCACAGCCCTTATCATAGGCCAGGGATCCCCAAACTTGGCAACTTTAAGATTTGTAGACTTCAGCTCCCGAATTCTCCAGCCAGCTATGCAAATCTTAAAGTTGCCAAGTTTGGAGACCTCTGTCATAGGCCTTTCATTTTCAAATGGATAGTGCTCATTATAAGAGTAGAAGTAGGAAGGATTTTCCCCCCATATTTTTTTCTATCTCACCATCCTCAACCTTTCGTTTCAATTCAGGCTTTTTCTGTGTGATTAAAAGGGGAAGAGAAGAATGAAGCAAGTACTGTTAATCTGGTTCTCTTCTCTGTTTTTGTCTGCAGAGACAGGAGTGATTGATCCTGAAATCCAGAAATACAATACACCAGGTTTCGTAGGTTGCATCTCGGGGGTGAAGTTCAACAGCATTGTGCCCCTGAAAACCATATTTCGTTCTACTGGCAACAATCCCATCATTCCTTACACCATCAATGGAAAGCTGGTAGAATCCAACTGTGCCTCTATGCCTTCCACCTACATTAAAGTGCCTCCTGAGCTTGATCCATGGTACATAGATCCAGGTAAGACAGTTTAACATGACAATTTTGAAAATGCTGGGCCTATCCTGGAGTATCTAAGGAGATTCTCAGTCATCCAGGTCACGGTTGTCCCAAAGGTGCTTTTTCAAGAGCTAAGTGGACTTTCTGGTTTTTCTCTGAAGAGATTTCACTTCTCATCCAAGAGCCAAAGAAGCTTCTTGGATGAGAAGTGAAACCTCTTCAAAGAAAAAAACAGAAATTCCAGTTACCTCTTGAAAAAGAGCCTTTGAGATTATCCTGGAGTGCCAACTGTATAATCCCAAAAATGAAGAGTGTTCTTTTTTTTTTGAGGCAAGAACTTCACTAGGGGGTACATCTGTTGTTTTTTTTTAATCCGAGTGTGGAACTTTGTTCAAACAGATGCAATGATATTTCAACTAGGAGAGAGGGAGTAATAAATAAAAGGAACCATGTGCATCATCTTGAGATGATTGAAGATGGAAGGTATTCTACATGTGGAAGGCAAAGAGTTTGCTCCTAGAAGAACCTGCCAGACATATCCCTCCCCTCTCCAGGTGCCTTGGCAGAAAAAGCATGTAGGATAGCTAGGAGGAGAGGAGATAGCTCTCAAAATTTGGAAATAATATGCCATATACCTCTCTCCTCCTATTTCCCCCCACAGCAACAATTTGTGAGCTGGGTTGGCCGAGAGAGAATGATTGGCCGAAGGTCATCCAGCTGGCTTTCATGGCTAAGGCGATTTTATGAAGGGAAGAGAGACCATCCAAGAAGGGACTGAGCCAATGAAATCAAAGAGCTGAAGGTGGAGGAGTATATCAAATCTAATTTTAATTATATGTTTTCTTTATGCTTGTTGTAGTGGACTTCTTATACATCCACGATGACGGCTGGGTTGCAGTTATTATTGGAGGTGAGTTATTAATGTGGAAGATGAAAAGGGAGTGAAAGCTATGGGAAGAGCCCAGAGATGGCTAGATTAAGCCCTGTTGGGTTCACCTCAACTACTTCTGGTTTTTCCCTCCCCAGTTGTCCTAATTTTTTTCCCTTTCTTTCCCTATTCTGCCTCTCTTCCCCCAGTTATCTTTTTCCTGCTTCTGCTGTTGGCAGCAGCCCTTCTCTTGATGTACCTTCACCACCACCGTTACAAGGGCTCCTATCATACCAATGAGCCAAAGGCTATCCAGGACTACAACAGTGGTGGAAGTAGTAGTGGTGGTGGGAGTACCAGAGGCAGTGGCAGTGCTGAGCCTGCCACTCTCCCTGCAACTAAGCCTGTTGCCCCTCGGAAAGATCAAAACTTGCCACAGATATTGGAAGAGTCCAAAACAGAATAGCCAACTGGAGCCTGAGGGATTCATCTTCTACTCGTTGGTGCTGGCTGCAGCCTCTTGGCAAGACCAAACCCAAACTGCCAATCGTGCCACTTGCTGGGAGTCTGATTTCTGCCTCTACCCTTCACGGTGTGATGAACTGCCTGGTGCTTTGCCTTGTTCAACTTGCACATCCTGTGGTGTTGCTGTATTTCCCAGTTGGACATAGTTCTTACTGGCAAGTGTCTAATCAAAGATATTTCTGCCTCCCTTCATTTCATTCAGAATAATTGTATTTAGTTATTTGTTTAGTAGTTTATTTATGGGACTTTCATAATGCCTCAATTGATTCCAACTACCGTATTTGCCGGCGTATAAGACGACTTTTTTGCCCCGAAAAACATGCCTCCAAGTGGGGGGGTCGTCTTATACGCCGGTATATCCACTGCCGGCTTTCGGATGCTTGTTGGACGCAGCGAAGGCGCCTCTGGCTTCCTGGATCCCCTGCGTCGCTTCCGCTTCATCCCGCTCGCCTCGCTCCGCCCGAGGCTGCAGCCTTCCTGCTCTTCCCACGGCCCCTGGCACTCTGCCCTGCCGCTGCAGCCCCGGGGATTTCTGGAGGGCGTTTCCGGTGGTGGTGGGGGGTCGTCTTATACGCCGGGTCGTCTTATACGCCGGCAAATACGGTAGATGTTTTGTATCTTTTGAAAAGTTTTAATTGGTGCCTGGGTAGCTGCCAAAATGATATCTATTTTTCCTCAAGTTGTAACCCTTCCCCTACCTCTGGGCCCGCTTTTTTCATATCCTCTTTCTCCATTTTGGTCCTGCAGTTTCTTCTTAAGAGTGGGATGGGAAGGCAAAGGTTACTAGTAGCATACCGTTTCCTGCAGTTTCAACTCTTAGTTTCTTAGAGCGACTTATAGCTAAACTCCAGGGCTTCTTCCACAATTTGAAGAGAGAGACATGACTGTCAATATATACTTCTTTTGGGAAAATGCAATGCAAAATTCATGCTGGCCTTCTCATATGTGATGCGCTAGCACATAGTCTTCCTGATTAATTGCTTAGCATAAAAAAAGCCATTAGTCAAGCCATGCAATGTAGCCGATGTAGAGCCTGGCACATTATATTGTGCCCTGAAAGAAAACAATGTGCAATATAGATATATTTGCCTGCTGATATATAAATAACATATGTATGTATAGCAATAGCGCATGAAAAAAAATCACTTGCACTTTGCTGCCACTTGCTGCTTCATAAATCAGGGGTTTTGAGAATTTAAAATTCTTTCTACATTTTGTTCATGTTTTAGTTGTGAGCTATTAGAAGGACTAATTTTTTAATGATATTGTTTGTATAAAACACAAAATCCTGATACGTTAAAAGTGAAGTGATAGTCTGTGCTCTGTAGTCTGTTGTATGATGGGGGAGGGATATTATTATCAATAATGTCCAGCCCCCTTCTTTCCCTAAGTTTACTTGTGGATTATAAGAAGATTCTATAACAATGGCCAAATGTATTTATTTTATCCAAAAACCTGGGCATCTTCCTGGGCAGTTTATTTTTTTCTAAAGAATTGTTTGGGAAAAACAAAGTAAAGATTAACTTATAAAAATAAAAAAGCAGGGTGATAAATTACTGGTTATATATATTTGGGTGTGGGTTAGGGGATGGAAAATGCATTTTGAATGGTTATGGCTAGAATTTGTTTTTCTCCAAGCACATATGTATTTTAATACTTACAAAAATAATAGCAACCATATTTCACACTAGTTATTACTAGTATACTGCATCCTTTCTGTGAGTGTTCAAACTAACATGCACATAATCCTTCTTGAGTATCTTCACAACACTTAGAGTTAAGACTGAGTGACTGTCCTAAAATACTGTTTGCTTGAATGAGGACATGAACTAACACCTCTCAAGCCTGTAGTAACTGTTTCACTTTTCTGGTTGTCCATAATTAAGGAGCAAAAATAGCCCGTTTCAAGATTATTTTTCTACTCAAGTCTAGTGAGTCAATTGTCTGGAGAAACCTGTGCTTACTTTGAAGAGTTGCTTTTTCTGGGAATCCTGGGGGGTGGGGGATGGGTAGGCAGTGAGCCTGCAGGGTAATTTCTAGAGATGACTTTTCATGGTAAAGTGTCAGCCTCATCCTTGACCTTGCAAGATTGGGCACTTTTTAGTGATGGTTCTTTAGATGAATATTCATTTCTGGGAATGAAAAAAAATGTCACTATTGTACTCAGTTTCCTGAGAATATTTTGCAAACATTTGAATACCTTTTATGTTGTTGCTATCAACTGAGTAGATTTGTTGAGCTAAAGTTCCTCCTGCAAGGCTTACCTCTGGAAAATTAGTTGTGAAACAGTATTCCAAATTAATAAAGGAATAAGAACTTGGACCATCAGCTTGGAACATTTAAACAGTTATTAACTGTATTAACATTTAAACAGTTATTAACTGTGCATTAGGATGGGCCGCAATTCATTTTGCAGCCAAAGCCTTGTTTAAAAGTAAAGCCGCATTTCTTGTAGAGGTTCAATATACAGGAAATTTAAATGCAAAAATAACTGATGCCACTGTAATTATACAAATGGGCTAGGATTGCAGTATTCAGGTTACAAAATGTGGACACCTACTAGATTGCAGTAGTTTCTGTTATTGTTGCTTGTGTTTGTTTGGAGTTTTGCACACTATTTATGATAGCCTTAAAAAGTAAGTGATTATTATTATGTGAGGTTTTCAAGAATTCTGAACATCCTCAAAATCAACTATAACCTTATAAGGATTAAAGTTACAAAGGATGTTCTCAAACAACCTGTAGCCTTGCTGTTGCAATAGTACTGTGTACATGATCTGCTATGTATACCTTGCTCCCCCCCTTTCTACTTGAATGTATGGAAATTGGTTTGCCAATCTAGCTTATTCTCCCAATAGTACCAATAAATTTGACACGAGACAGACTTTATTTAGCTATCACTACACCTTTATTAAGACAAACTTTTACAAGCGATAATATAAAGTGCACATAAGTTACCAGCAGCAAAGCTAAGAGTCATAAGCAATCAGAAGATGGAGGTGCCATGCAGCCGCTGGCTCCTGAACCACCTTGCCTAGAAGAAAAGCAGTTCAACGAAGTACAAGGTGTGGGGAGAGGGAAGCATAAATGTTTTTGCTGCTATATAAGTCACTGGAATCTTCAATAGCTGCAGTATATCAGAAGTGCTAAGCAATATATGTTTGTGTTGTAAACTTGTTATGTTATGCAATGCAGAGGTGAAGTCTAAACATCCATCAGCTGAAAGGACCAACCAATGCTTTTGTCAGTCAAGAGGCAAACATAGGCAATCATACAGAACAACACTAAGTACAGTATTGCAGGCCTAGCCCCTGACAAAAAATATTAAACCTTCACCACTTTTTTAAGACTGGCCATTTCTGCAGTGGATATCTTTCAGAAAGTTGCTTGATGAACCATGAAACCCACTGGCCAAATTAGGTGCTGACAGCCCTTCTTGCACTATTGGGATTATCTATTGGCCTGCAGGTATGAGACTCCCTTTCCCTCTTCTGGTATTTACACTGTATGGATGCTAGACAACAGCTAAGCAATAAGCCTGGTTACAACTTTGCCAGAGACAATTAAGCTGCATCACTGTGCTATGACCGCAGTAGCTAAAAACTAGGCACCTTGGCTTTCCCCTCTTCTTCCCAATTCAAAAACATAAACTAAGAACATGACTCTTAATTGAACAAAAAGTCCACTACCATTTTTCATACTGTCCCTCAAACTACTTTCTTCCAGAAATTAATGTCTCTTACAGTACTAGGTTCCCTTGAGAAAACTAACATTTCTAACCCAACCAGGTGCCTAAGGATGCTTTTTGAGAAAGTAGGCTGACAGCTCTCCCAGAAAATAATACAGCATTCCAACTTTAAATTGCGTCTCCAGAATACATTCCACTAGAAGCTGCAAGTGACAAAGAAAGATGGCTTTAAAAAAAATCAAACTAAACCTAGAAATTATATGGTATTCTTTTCTCACACCAAAATTAAATTCACTATAGTATTTAGAAGCGCTCTAAACAATTAAGTTTCACTCAGATACAAATTACACTAAGCAGATATTTTTCTCACAATTATTAAGCAGCTAGAAAAGGTGAAGCAGTAGTAAATAGGGTAGTGGAGGGCTTGCTGCTGCCACTTAATTCCTTGATTTCTAAGAGACCATGAACACTATGTTCTCCCACATTAGTATACTCATTCCCAGAAGCTGCTTCCCTTATAGTAGGCAGCAGGCTGTACTAAGTCAGCAGTAAAGGCACTCTACATATGCTCAACTATACTATTTAGCATTGTTTCATTTGTTCCAGGCTCACTTTCGGCCCAGGAAATGAACAGGTGGAATGTTGTGCACAGAAGTGCTAACACTTTCACAATTACATGGCTAGCATGATCAGAAGCAAACAAATACCCTTAGGGCCAAAGAATGCTATTTGCGTAGCTAATACATAATTGTGTATACCTCATTCTACACCCCGCCCCCTGCCAAGTTCAATAAACTACATTTCTGTCTTCCTTCTCTTCTCCAAGGCTGACATTGGTGTTACTATGTCACACAAGGGGACTTACCCATGTAGTAAATCCAAACTACTGCTGGCAGCAACAAACACACTTTTATCAGTATAATTAGCCAGTTTTATGATTGATCTGTAGCTCTCACATATCAACATATGAGAAAGTCAATGTCTGGCTTCTACAGTAATCCACACCATGGAGGTGGAATCAATTTTCACTCCCTATAAACCCACAGGGAGCCAACTCCCTGTCTTCATGGACCAAATCATTCTAAAGTGCATGCTAATTGATTGTTTTGGACATAAATGGGGGTGGGGGGAGGACAGATTCTGAAAGTAGGTGACAAATTAATCGCTCTTAAAAAGACTATTATATTCCCCTGGGCCACATGTACCCAATTGTTCTGTTTTCATATGTACACCAAGAATACCTCTTGTGGCTTAAAAACAAAAGCAAAATAAAACAAAACACCTTTTACTGTTTTAAGAGAAGAACAGAACCAAATATGTTCAAGTCCTTCAACTAACTAAGAAAAAAAAATTAATTTATTGCTGAAAGTGCTAGTATGAAGCCCAAGAGGGACAGAGAAAAGGATTAGAAAATGTTGTAACAAGTTACTAACTGAAAGAAATGAACTATAGAGGCTTGGGAGCAAATGTTACCCATCAGGAATTAATTAATTAACAAACATTAACTGATCCCTCTCCCCTGGCCTCTGTGTAATACTTTTATGATTTTCTCTGCAAGTGACATTTGTGTTGAGATAAT